CCTTAAATGTATGAATTTTTACACACCAATTTATCTTTGCCAACAACGTGTTTTAGGATAGCCAATGAGTAGATTCCGATATTGGGCATGAAGGAAATCAAACAATCCCAACCTCGATAATCAGGTCCATTCTGAGAAGGGGTGGTGATTTCATTAGTTCAGAGTTTGTTAGGAACATAGTCGGATAACTAGGCCATCTGAAGTAGAGTAACAGAATTTGATTGATTAATTATACTACATTGAACTACTTTCTGTCTTATATATTCCCAGAAAACATTATCTCTCTGATCTATAACTTCAGTCTTCTTTCTATTTTTTATTTCCACGCAGGTTTCAGTAGTGTGTCCAGGCTGACCTTGAACTCACTCTGTAGCCCAAGCATGTTTTGGCATGTGAGTGTTTCTTTCACATCTTCCTGGTTAGCTGAGGCCACAGTTCTCTTCCATAAGCTCGCTAAAGGGTATATACTCCCTATCCTAATGCTTCTGATGTTCTATATTATTGATAAAGTTTTGATCAAACCATTTTCATTGTAACAGGTGGGAATATTGACCTCTGTGATCTAAGCATAGAGGTTAAAATTGGCTTGGTTTAGGATATTTATGTAAGCCAGGATAATAAAATCAGCAAACAATAACCTGAGCTCATTATACACAAATATATGAGAACCACAACTCTTTAAAATAGTTGAGGAGAGAAATCCTTAATCCTGGGACACTCTCAAATCATTCAAAGCATAAGAAGTCTTCACTATTAAACTAGATATGTGCTCAGAATAGAGTCAGGGCTAGCATGAAAAGTAGCCAAACAAAACCAGAGATAATACAAAATGCCAAGATATTTTATAGTGTTCCAAACAGAAGGTGATAGATATTCAATCGCCTGTCAAAAGCAAGTAACAGCCTCCCTTTGCTTCTGAGACTGTGATCTACACAAAGGAAGTAGATGAAAAACACAACAAGGCAGCACAAACACAGCAGAAGACATGTTGCTTTGATGATTTATGTATGAGAGACAAAAAATAATTTGACTGAAGGATAAATGTAACAGTAGAGGCTTGATCTGCCACAATAGACTAAACAAAAATAGGACCTCAGAAGCAGTTTTGTGAAAGTCAGGATCCTACTCTAACATTTGTTTCCAGACAAAACGTTTTAGGATTAAGTTCAGAAATAGGAAACTGAACACAACAGAGCTTGAGTTTAACCAGCCACAGGAGTATCAAAGCTCATCTCTCTGTTGGCTTTACACAATCATTCACCCTAGAGAATTCACTCCTGAATTAACTTAATCAGCATGCTGTGATGTAGCAATTGCATCTTCTCTTAGAAAAGCCAGGCTTCTGTGCTCCAGGTTTAGCAAAGTTCCAGCAATAAGAAGGAACAGCAGTCTTGGCCATGTATTCTATCCCAGGATTGTCTGCAGTACTGATTTTAAATATTAGTAAATAAAAATGCATGCTCAAACTTTTTAAAAAAATTCAACTCAATCAAATGGAAAGGCAATCACTATACAATACAATTTGGGTAGTTTGATAGATCTGATGGTTAATTTAAAATAATGAAATCTCTTCAGGCTAATGGAGTTTGAAATAATTTCCCAACTGCAGCATAGCAGAAAAATCAGAATTAGGTATTACTAAATTGAGTTGAATTCTGATCGAAAATGCTATGTTTCAATTAAAAACCATGCCCTTGATTCAGCTAGCAAACCTCTTCTGTGTCCTGGATAACTATCTTCGGTTTACATCCCGAAGACAGTTATATCTCTAATTAGGTGGTGAGTGCCATTTAAAGGCAACCTGTTCAAATGTCAGAAAGACCTTTAGTAGTCTTTCCTGCTAATATATACAGTTCAGACATTCTTAAAAGGTGTAATTCTTCTAATAAACCCTCCCTGGGATCTGAAAACCCAAATGAGTCTTTACTTCAAGTGTGTATAACCATTATACACAATTTATGAATTTCAAGAAGACAATCTAGGTTCCCTTTCCAGGTGAGTTAAACAAGAATTTCTAGAGAAGTCAAGAACTTTAAGTTAAATTAGGCTGAAAGAACTTGAAATTAAATTTTGAACATAATATACAAGATATGTCTACAGAGTTCTTGAGACTGGAGGCCACTGATTCATGTAGCTGGGTTCCACAGGGGTGTTAACACATGCTGCTTTCAGCAGAACAGATGAAATGGAAAAGAATGTGTGATTATATGCAAAGGAAATTGCAGTTTTAAACATTAATAAGTGCAATCAATTATTACAGAAAAGAAATACAATTCAGAGGGTATGAGTAAACAGCTTATTGTTGCCATTACTTGCGTTCAGGTCAGTAGTAAGTAAAACAGTTTATTGTTGGCATTTGTTACATTCAGGTCAAACATAAGAGACATTTATTGTGAGGAAGAACTAATTTTACAAAACCATCACTGACAGGGAGTCTTCTACATAGATTCTTATCTCTACTCTGCCTTCTAGACCATCTAACTTTACTACTTTAAGATATTTATGTAACTAGTTTTAGTTATGTGTATAAATGTATGGGTGTCCAGAGTGATCAGAGGTGTCAGGTGCTGTGGACTTGGCTTGACAAGCAGCTTTGATCCTATTGAGGTTGAGTTCTGGGAACTGAACTCTGAACCTCTTAAATGCTTTCGGTTTATCTGTGGTGCTGGGGCTCAAACCCCAAGGGCTTTGGCATGGCATGTTCTTTAGGAAGACTATCAAGCTCTATCTGCAGGCAAGCATTCTTAGAAGAGGCACAGCTTGCTTCAGCATGGATTGGTCTGTGGTAACTGCACTTGAAACAGTCTGAGGCCTGGAGAATTATTGTGATATTTTGGCATTCTGATCGCTCTCTGTTTTATCAGTTATCTAGATATTATTTTAAAATCCAATAATTCAGTGTCAACTGTACCTCAAATGCTACATGTTTTTATTATGTGGTTTATTTAACTTTCTCTGTACCTTCACAATGTATTTCTAATGCACAGTTTAAGAACATATTTTGCTGTGTGCTTTTTCAATGCTTTAAACAAAACTAAGATGCTAGTAATACCTTAGAGATCTACTTTCTACGTAAATTCTAGAAAACATCACTTCTGTGAGAGGCTACTTGTGAGACAATTTTATAGCCATATAATGGGAAAACGGCAGAAAGAATAGCTTCACAATAATCTTGAGGATTTTTGGAGGGTATATTCACTGAAGTAAACACTTCGTTTTACAATCACCCATTATTATAAGCTTCAAGCCTGCAACAGTGCTTTCTATAGCAAACAGTCAGAAGAAAAGACTGAATGGATGAGTGTGTAAACCAAGGTTGCAAACAATTCTTTGTTGAAGAAACTTTAATAATCATCAACTCAGAGAAATCCCATACTTATTAATAAAAGATCATAAGAATCCTTTCCCCCTGTTATCACTGTAGAATCATCTAAGCTGGTTAAAATTAAATAAGCAAACAAACAAAATATTAAACAAAGAAAAATACAACAAACATTAAACTTCTATTTACATTAAGAGTTTTAACACCACAGATATAACAGAAAACCCAGAAGTTCCTTGGGAATGCCTTCTTTATGTAGAAAGAGAACTAGAGAAAGAGATGGCAATCAGTGTGAGTGAATACCCCACTTCACAGAATGCAATGTCTCCTCATCCCAGAGTGGGCTGAATGGATATGAGGACTTAGGATCAAAGGCTCTTATCAGCATCCTTCTCTGGGAAATCTTGATTGGGCAGTTGCTAGCATCTTTTGAAACCTATGATTTTAGAGTGTTACAACTGTAATGCACAATGGCTGTCTGTAAATGCATCCATTTACTGATTTAATGCAATAACAAATGGCACAGTAATGCATCTAAACATTATGGGCAAATATGAAACAGTGGGCAACTGGTACAATGACACATAAAGAGAAATCCAGCTGTTTTTCTTTTAGATGGGCTGGTGTGAACTCTGGGCTGTGCACACATAAACACTGATCTGAGAATGCACAACTATTGGTTAGTTAATGCAGATTGAGTAACTTAGCAACTATTTTCTACAATTACAAGGAAAACAGCCTCAACTACATCATCTATCAATCATTTATCACCTATGAATCATCTATCTATCTTATCTATCTATCTGTCATCTACTTTTTTCTTCCTTTCTTCCCCCTTCTCAGTTTTTGTTGTTGTTGTTGTTTTTGAGAAAAGCTCTCCACATTGTCTGAGATTGATCTTTAACTAATAATTACACTGCTTCAGTCTCTTGAGTGTGTTTCAGCTATTAAATCCTAAGAAGTAGCCCATGCATGGGATAGTGTCAAAGTGTTTTCATGTCTTTGTGATAGACACTATCAAGAAGTAGCATTCCTGAACCACATAAAGAATTTCTCATTAAAATACATTTATCAATATCTAGCATACCCATTAGCTAATATAGTTTAATAAAAATACATTTTCAAAAAGTAAAATAATATTCTTCATGGTATTGTTGAATTAAAAAGCCTTTTCTTCAAAACTCCAAGTACCAGGAAAAACTTTGTTACTGGTATGATGTTCTTTTTAATATTTAAATTTTGCCCTTTGCACCATAGGACAGATCAAAAGATCTAGCACAATGTATTTCCATTCTTACTGACCTACTTTTTAATTGTATGTGAAAAGCAACCAACCATACAATTCAGCGGAAAAAACAAACTTTTGTACCAAGAGTCTGCAGTTGTGAAGATGACTACACACACACTGACCTAAGAACAAGGGCAACAAAACTCATCAATTCGTCTGGCCTCATAGATAGTGGCCAAGGTCATGGACTTGTATAGACAAACACAAGAACTGTGATTTCATTTCATTTCTTAGCCCAACTCACTGAATTCCTCATATGTTAAACAACAACCAGAATTAAATCTAGCCCTATTCTGTCTTTGGGTTGCCACTTTCCCCTTTATCATATTAAAATGAATACAATGAAGTAGTTTCTACAAGTATTTATAGAAGAAATATATGCATTCCTACCTCCATTATCTTTCAGATGCAGAGCTATCTTTGTGTCATCTGAAAGAGAAGATGGAAGTTATTACAACAGAAAAATATTTTAAAGATGCATAAATCTCATGCTAGGTAACCGAATCAATTGCTTTAACTCAAACATTTGCTTTTTACAATTTAGAGAGTAATTTCTAGCATAGTAAGAGAGAAAGCTCCAGGTTTACATGATATAGCAATAAAATTTCTCTCAGAGATTGATTAGGCTAAGGCATTAGTAAAATGTCTGAGCCTCAATTCTGTGACAAAGTTTAAAAAAACTAGTTTTAGCATGAAATAGATTTTTAACTTTCTAAAACAACTTAGAATAGGACTTCAGGTACTTGAAATCAAGGCTGACAATATTACAAATTAAGAGGAACAGTTAGGATTTCACAATAGTTAAAGTTTTATCTTTAAATATTTATATCAGATATGGATAAATTTTCATCTGCATGGATAAACATGATGTGAAATTTTGCATTTCAAATTGTATTTTACTATCAAAGTTGGGGTTTCAATTAAAGCATTTTTCACAATCTTTAGACTACTGACCCGAATCATTTGAATTTAAGTATATGTTGCTTTTAAAGGAGCCACAATGCATTTGGCTGTTATCCTCCATCTTTCTTTATTTCACTTACTTTATAATACCCACTTAAATTTCAATAAAAAACTAAGGCTTCAAATTTAATTTCCTATTCTAAATAAAGCAATGCTTATGACAATAGTATATTAAACTATGTTCTCCCCTAAACAAATATACTGTGCCCCCTACATCTTATTATACCACAAATCTTAGAAAATTATCAAGCATTGGCTATTACATTTTCTCCACACATGAATTTTATCTAGGCATTAACACTTTAGTAGTTTTATCTTCTCCATAGAAGGAGCTACATTTCAAAAACAATTTGGTGATGCTCACAGTGTCTCTGTGATTGACTGCATTCAGAAACTATAACTATATAACTGTATGTGAGTTACATTATCTATTGTTTAGAATTTTATATCAATAGTCATTTTTTTGTGCATATTTCTTTTGAATCCTGTCCTAAATGTAGGTTGATGACTACCAAATTTAGTCACATAAAAAGAAGGAAATGTTTCTTCTTTAGGGGGAACAAAACAACAGATAATGGATAACTAAGGCTTAACAAGAGGAGCAGTATATGTAAAGACTTCCTTTATGTGTTTTCAATTCATGGTAATTCTAAATCTGAAAAATCATTTGGAAAGTTAATTGGCCAAACTATATTCTTTTCTTCCAGCTTTAGGGGTTACCCAATAATCTTCTCTTTTCTATCAAAGTAAGCAAGCAAAGAATCTTGTGGGTACCTTCTGTGGGCAGGCTGGTGGGCATCTGTGACGTCACGGCTCTCCTGGTGGTAGTCAGGACCCTGAATTGCATGGTGGTTGTGTGTGACGTCGTGGTGGTTTGAGAAGTGCCCGCTGGCTCTGTGCCGTCACACATTTTCTCTTTTGACTAGTAGGAGACACAGAGGTGAAAATCAGTAGGCTGGAGATTTGTGTCTTCTTAACTTATGAAATTGGACTATAAAGCACAAAAACAGAAAATTATTTTTGTGTCAGGTTATTTATTTTGCTAATTTACAAAGAATTTAAGATAAGAGAGGGAGCATGTAACAAATTACACCAATTTTTTTCACTGATTTTTTAGATATTTGGAATCATTTTCATCTGTTTTACTTTTTGCATTATTCTTTATCTTGCCTTTGTTTATTTGATAGGTATATCTATGAAATATCTAATATCAAAAGGTAAAAGAAATTAAAGTTAGAAGAAAAGTTTGTTCCTATAGGAAAGGTTTAACACCTACTTGGATAGACAAAGTGGAGATACTACATCTTAAACATTTCCTCATTGTTCCAGGCTCTTTAGTGTCCTCAAAATTAGTCTTCTCCAGGTTGAACAGAAATTTGAAATTTCATTTGCTCTTATGAAATATCAAAAACCACATAGATAAAGCCCTCATTTAAACACAGCCTAATTCTCCCCACCAGGGTTAAACAGAAGATACCAGGGAGAAACATAATTCCTTTATCTTCTCAACTCCAAAGGTCCAAAGCTCCCTTTAACTATGACAGAAGTCTCTAGAACAGCTCTCATAGCTCATGTATCTTATTTCATTCCATTTGTATATCTCTCCACTGAAATTCTTCTCCCTTGAACTCACAATAATTGCTCTTCTTAATCTCCTATTTTTCCATCACCTCCACCTAACTTTTCAATATCTTCAAATATGTAGTATTTGTAATCACCTTTTCAGAAAATGCCCAATCCTGCACAAAGCAGATCTTCCTTAACCTTGCCCACGCCAAAGGCAGACAGGACAGGACAGGACAGGACAATCATGCCCTTTGGAAACCCCACAAACTATTCAGCATTCTCATTCAGAAAATCAAAGGTGCTTGAAAATGATTTTGTATTTGGACAATCACATGCTCAAAGGCCATGGGACCAGTTCCTTCATTCTACTTAGCAACTACAATCCCAGAGTGATTCTTGCTGTTTTGCCTTGGGTTTACCTTTTATTTCCTTGATGAAAGGGACCATCAGTAGGATTTCTTTACAAATCTTACCTGTTTCTTCCTGAATATTTCCCCTTTCCTTCTATTTCAGAGGGAAGTCACCATTTTTTTAATATTCTCTCCAGGTGCATTCAACGCAGTCCACTCCCTTGGGTTTTGTGAACTTGGTATATGAGTAAAATTTTGTCATTTTAGCGTGAGTCCTTTGTAATTCTCTGGTGACTTGTTACTGCTAACAGTCAAACATGCGTAAACATGCCTAATCTTACACGCTATGCTCCAGTTGCTCCACAATAATCCTGGCATTGCATTATTCTACTATGCCATCCATTCATATTTGGACTTCCTAACAGTCTAGTGTATGTTGGTCATCTCAGGCGCCTATTTTTTCTACTTCGTTACAATTCTACTGTTCTATGTCCAACTTGGGATTTCTCCTATCAGTGTTTTCATGTATCTCCATAGTTACTAAATCCCCCAATGGAAATTAATGGCTAATTCACATAAGTGAACACAGATGCCCACTCTTGGTTTCAGTGACACATATTCATTTATCTCCCGGCTCCTATCTTAGTGTCCCTTGCTTCCTTGTCATTCTTCCTCCCATTAGTTTTGGAATTCTTAGGTGTATTTCTTGATCCCCCATTTCACTCTGTGCTTTCTTGTGCACTTCTATCTCTACACCCAGGACTGCACTTAACATCTTGATATTGGGTGTTTACAAATCTGTATCTCATGTTGACTTTCTTTTATCCCTTTCTTTCTTTCTTTCTTTCTTTCTTTCTTTCTTTCTTTCTTTCTGTCTTTCTTTCTTCTTTCTTTTTTGAAACAGGTTTTCTCTGTCAGATCCAGCTGTTCTATATCTCAATATTGGACCAGAATGACCTCAAACACACAGATATCCACCTGTCTCTGCTTCCTGAGTGCTTAGACTGAAGGCATGTGTCACCATGCCTGGCTGACATTCTTCTCTTAAAAGCCATGCTCAAACATTCATCTATTGAAAGGCCATATGCATATGGATATCCCAGACATTTCAAAATAAGTCTGGAATGGATTTTTTTCTGTTGTTCTCTATGAGTAGTTATTATTAAACATCTTTGTATTAAAGGTAAAATCTTGGATTTGGTTTGTTTTTGCAGTTACAAAAGAAGATGGTTATATATAATGCAAATTTAAAAGCAAAACAGTATTAGTATTTTCAAGACATAAAGAAAATCTCTAAACATGTTTTTTAATTATCTTTATATTCTTCTTTGCAAAATAAAGTCTATATGTACAATAGGAACAAAATACATTAAGTAGCATTTAAAAGCACAAATATAAAAAATAGAGTTGGTCTGGAGGAACAACTGCCAATGCAAATTTTGCTTAAAGGAGACCAATCTTGAATAATCAGTAGATGGGGAGAGAAATATAAACAGTTTTCCTCCTGTGAAGGCAGAACCAGGGGTATCTTGAAATCCACGAGTCTTATAGACAAACTCTCTCTGGCAAGACACAATCTACCCGGGAATTCCCACAGACTAAAATGAAATAAATGCACATTTCTAATTACAGGAAATGAAAAGAAAAGCAAACAAAAAGAGTCTGACGGAGAGCAAAACCAATGAGCAACTTGCACATACAACTGAAACTAAAGTAAAATTGGGAAACAAAAGTGCCAACACGGCTCATACTATAATGAAGACTTTAATGTGAATGGCAAGGATTAAAATACATAGAGGAATAAATTTAAAAAATATTGAGAGTAGAGGCTAAAAGTATGGATCAGTAATTAAGAGCACTGACTGTTCTTCCAGAGGACCCAGATTCAATTCCTATCACCCATGTGGTGGCTCACAATCATCTATAACTTCAATTCCAGGGGATTTGATGCCCTTTTCTGGCAATTCACTCACATAGCAAATGATGCAGGCAAAACCCTCACCCACCTACCGACACACACACATCAAAAGAAATTTTAAGCAAAACACACGGCTGTAAAACTCAGGAGCTCCTGCTATGTACATTGTGAAATGTATTCAATATGCAGCATAAGTTTCCACCTCACTTGATTCAGTGAAGTAGAACATCACGAGCAACATGGTGAATTTCTTAGTCAGAGGTATAATATCTACATATTGTGTAGGAAGAAATACTATGGCTGTAGGCTGCGAATCAGAGAGGCCAATATGACAGCCGACAGGATAGTCCTGGCAAGAGCTGTGTGTCATTTAGACTAATGTGGGGACCCCTGTGATAGTGGAAGTTATTAAAGAATTAGTTTGTTTAATGGAAGTGAGTGCAAAGAAACTATTTTACATATTCGTCAAAAAACCTGCAACATTTTAATAAGACTACTGCAATTCTGAAGTACAATATGAACATGAGTACATGTGATTGCACTGTGAATGACCAAGAGCATGTTTACTGCCAGTATTGTATGCTGCTTTCCCCTGTTAAAAGCACAACTGCTCAGATTTGACTCATCACCAAGAAGCATTTTTGTTTTTCAACTTATCTGTGTCAGTTTCTGTAGTTGTCATTTCTTCATTTTTGAAGCTCACTATCCTACACATTAGAGAATGTTGCACCCACATCGTATGCAAGGAAAGTGGACTGAGTTGATGAACTTGTGTGCTTACCTGTGAAGCAAGGCTTGCTTACCACAAAGCTAGTGATGTGGAGTATTTAGTTACAGGAAACAGGAAACATAAATTATTACAGAGTGCATTAGATCCTGACCTTCTTTCATGCTATCACAGTCCACAGAGCATGGTGAACTATCCACCATTGTACTCAGGAGACTTTTCCCTGCCTTGTATGGTTTATCAGGGGAGTACTCTGGAGCAAGAAAGCTAAAATATCTGGATCATATTCTGTATCTATACACAATTATGAACATTCATTTCAAGTATCTTTTGAGAAAAAAAATTGATTACATGTGTCAACCTGGAACACAAGCTAGAATTATCTGGAAGGAGGGAACCTCAACTGAGAAAATGCATCCATAAGATCCTACTGTTGGGCATTTTCTTAATTATGATTCATGATTGGTCAGGGAGGACCTATTCCATTGTGGGAGGTGCCATCCCTGGGCTGGTGATCCTGGGTTCTCTAAGCAAGGAGGTTGAGCAGCCATGGGAGCAAGCCAATTAACAGCATCTCTCCATGGTGTCTGTATCAGTTCCAGCCTCCAGTTTTCTTCCCTGTTTGGATTCCTGTCCTGACTTCTTTCAGTAATGCTTAGTCATATGGAAATAAAGTCTTTCATTCCAAGTTATATGTTTCACTGCAGCAACAGAATGCCTAACTAAGACAATCAACAAAACAAGGATGTGAAAACATTATGGGTTTATAAATGTATTTTCTTTGGAACTGTGCCAGGTAATTGAGATGATGATTCATGTAAAACACTCTAATTGCCCAAGTGAATTCCAAAAATCAGATTAAAGTTTCCATACCAATAGTGCACTTAAAAGCTCAACAATATTGGCTGGTTGGTTGGTAGGACTTTTGACACTGAGTTTCGCCATTTATCTTAGGTTAGCCTCAAATTCACACCCTCCTGTATGCTAGGATTATATGGATATTCCATGTTGACTTTCAAGAGTGTCCTTTTTATTTATTAATCTTAAAATTTATTCTGTGATACTGGAATTTGACTGAGGGCCTCATACATGCAAAGCAACTGTTCACTGAGGTGAATTCTGAGCCCCACAATATTATCAAGGCTGTATTTCTCAAGATCTCTGTGAGTCTGCTAACCTCAAGTGTATCTTCAAAAAGTAACCCACCATTGTCCTAGTGGTTACTACCGCAGCCCTGTGGCTTGACTAGATTCACTAGATGAAAAATTTGTGTCATTGTTAATTGTCATTATAATTTATTCTTTAAAACTTAGCAAAGGAGGGATCTAGAGAGATGGCTCAGTGGTTAAGAGTGCACACTGAAGCTTGGATCCCAGCACCCACATCAGGTGGTTCACTAGTCCCTGTAACTCCATCTCCTGATGAAGGGGCATTTTGCCCTCTTCTGGCCATTGCGAGCATAACATACATGTGGAGAACTACAACCAAACAGATATTCATATTTAATAAGGGACAAGAAATACCTAATTAACATCACAAAACTTAGGGGACTTTGAAATGACTGGCAGTAAGATTCAGGGAAACTTCATACAGGTTAAAATGACTTTCTTGTAAAAAAATTGATAATTACATTAACCTACTGTTATACCATTTCCCATTTGTTACAGCACACCAGCTCATTACAATTAATCTTTCCCCTCATACCATTATTTTGCTATTTGAGATTAAAAGAGAAGCACTGAATACTTAAGTGACAAAAAGAACAAACATTTAGGAAATCTGTCTTTTGTCCATCCAAGTTCAAATCCTGGATCTCTGGTTTCCTATATAGGTACCTAATCCTTTGGGTTTCATATCCACTTCAATCCCATATTCTTTTATCCCTTCTTTTCAAGATGACGATAACATTATCTCTTCAGAGGATGGGTAAGAAAAAAACTGTGGTAATATGCAAGACATTAGTCCCAATGCTTGGCATACACTTTCAATGTCTTGATTTTCTTGCTTTTTTTTTTTTGATTTTTTGAGACAGGATTTCTCTGTATTGTTTTGGAGGCTGTCCTAGAACTCACTCTGTAGCCCAGGCTGGCCTCGAACTCACAGAGATCTGCTTGCCTCTGCCTCCCAAGTGCTGGGATTAAAGGCATGCACCACCAATACTCGACTCAATATTTTGGTTTTTAAGCAACTAAATTAGGTACCATTCTAATTAAGTTTCAGTGTCACAAGTTGCATAAAATTGTTCCCAGTGCTTTACGATAGAACGCACCTGTACTTCTTCTGGGCATCCACTATCCACCCAGTCCTGCCGATGGCGATCAAATCCACTGGAGCATCTTCAGAGAAGATTCCATTGCAGTTGAAGAGAGGAAGCATAGCATGTAAGGAGGGAAACAGAAGGAAATACTGGTAAAAGGCAGGTTCCAGATTTCCAGCTTAGTGCAGCATCAGCTTTCTTCAGCTGAACTGAGTACTTTAGACACAGTGTACAGTTTGCTGAGTGACTTAACTTACTCATTCACTGTTCCATTGTCAGCATCATATAGAGCCAAACATCACTCCCCTGAGGCTACCACACTACACACTGCTGATATAACTCTAAGCATAATAAACAATTCACTATTATATAATGTTGGATTTATTTTCCTCATTGTCCTAGTTAATCACTACAATAAATGCACACAAATCACCTTAAAATCATTTAAAAAGATTTGTTTATTTATTTATGTATCCTCATCTAATAAACTCTTGATTGTGTATTAAACTCAGAGGTTTTGAAGTCTTGAAACAGCTTCCAAGACATAACATTTAAACCAGGTGTTCTCAGCCTTCCTAATGCTGCAACACTTTAATACAGTTCCTCATGTCATGGTGACCCCCAAATATAACTTTATTTTCGTGGCTACGTCATAACTGCAATTTATCTACTGTCCTTGTAAAAGGGTCATTTGACCCACAAAGGGGTTGCAGCCCATAGTTGAGAACCACTGCTTTAAACCCTGGTAACACCTGCTTGATAAAGGGGTGATCTTGATTCCTGAGCTATACAGGATAAATTATGGTGACAGCATGACTTATTTTGAATGTCAGAATTTATTCCAGGATAGACCCCTGGGTCCATTCTGAATAGATTGACTCCTGGAGACCTGAAGCTTAGTCACAAATAAGATTAATGGCAGGAATATTCCATCACTGCAGGACTGATCCTCAAGGAGAACCCTAGAAATGAAAGCAAAGTGAGCTCCTTGGTTGACAACACTTGTATGGTCACACATTTCTGCCAAAAAAGCAGGGCTAGAAGCTAGTCCTTGTCTCACCAGGTCTGCTTGGCTATGTCCTATGACTCTTTTCCTAATCCTACTTTTAATTCATTTCCCTTCCTTATAATAAATGGCAACCTTGAGCATAACAGCTTTTCTGTGCCATGTGAGTCTCTCCAGTGATCTTGAGTGTGTTTTGGGAAAATATTCAGCTATGCATGATTACATCACTCCAAAAATTTTGATTTGGCAAGTGCCTCATCAACGAAATCTTGTTCAGATTCTTTCCTTCAACTGGAATACATTCTGTCTATATCATCTATCCTTTACAACACATTCATTTTCAAGACCCAGCAGTTTTAACCCAGAGAATGACCCAGTGAAGCTTCATAAGTGCTGTGACCAACTTTTTATTCTTCATTTTTTCTTCTTCATACAGTTACTTTGCCTTTTTAAAATAATTTAACTTTTATTTTTTTTGTGTGTATGAGTGCATGTCTGGCATATGTATGTAGTATATGTCCATGTGTACTTCTTTCTGGGTGTGCATGTCTCAGTCACACAGGGGCTAGAGTAGGATGTCCGGTGTCCTGTTCTATCACTCTGTGTTTTATTCCATTCAAAACTTCTCACTGAACCTGTAACTAGGCTGGTGGCCATCAAGCCCCAGAAATCTCAACCTCCAACCTCCCAAAGCACTAGGGTACAGGCAGATAAGTGACTACAACCAGTTTTTGTCAAGAATTTTGGGGATTTGAACTCAGACCCTTAAACTTTTGTAGCCAATGTTCTTACCCAATGAATCATCTACCCAGCCCAATTTACACATGACTTAATGGCTAAACTTGATTGAGATCATTTTAGATTTAAGTCAGAGTTTTATACTGATTACATCTAATGTATCCAATACTTATAATCATTTTTATAGAAATTCAAATTAGTTTTGATAGTCTATTGGTATTAAGGATATTTATATTTCCCATTAATTTTAATAATTGAATATATATTTAAAGAATGTAGTGATATATTTTAATCTAATAGGAATTTATCTCTCTAGCAAAACAAATATGTCATCCAATTCTTATTTAATAATTTTCATACTACTTATGGTTTTAATTTGCAACCCTACTTTTGCTCTTTATTTATTTTGCAATGAGCTCACATAATGGGTTTTTCTAAGAATCCTCAGCAGAAACAAGGCTTTGCCTGACAGAGTATACTTTAATTCCAATGGAATGTGAAAACAACTTTCCTTTCAACAAGACAGACCATAATTACCATTTCCTCCAAAATGATCCAGTGAAACGTTTACTCACTGAAGTCTGGCTGTGTTACAGCAATCACCTGCATTGAACAAGCTCAAGGGTGGCATAAATGTACATGTGAGCTTTGGCATCCTGTTGCTGTGGATCTCCATGTGGCTGTAGCTCTTGCTGTTGCTCAGTGACCCTGTGGGATGTGGTGCCTATTTATTTCTGGGCTAGTGAGCTGACTGTTGTGTCTTCTTTTTATCTCTCGTCTGTTTAAATATTAAAGAATGTGTTGATACTTTTGGTAAGTGTGAATATGCTAGCTCTATAAAAATAATTGAGGAGTCACTTGACCACTGGTTATAAATGGAACAGATAAATTTAAATATAGTTAGCTTACGTATACTCTCACTTAAAATTACCACTTGGATATGCTTATTTACAACTTATAATAAACTTGTACCAAATCTTACAATTGTGTCACTGGCTAGGATCTTAGAAAAATTAGTCACTTAATTTATTAAATTTCCAAGGAAAAATCAGAATGCAGTTTCCTTGATTTATTAAACAATCCTCGAGTTATATTGTGTGAAATTAAGTTCTATTTGAAGTCAATTTTCTAAGTAACTCACTTGTTTATTTATTCACAATTCAATTCCTAGTAATTTTTCTGTAGTGTTATGGGGCGTGGGAGGGACTAAAGATGACAAAGCAAGTATAATTTGCTTTGGAAATGGGCAAAACCAGGACCAGGGAAGTAGGCAGTGAGTTAAGAATTTCCACTCAAGTGTGAGGACCTGGGTTAAGGTATCCAGCACTTATGGAAAACAGTGAGGCAAAGCAAGATGAGTCCTTAATCACTGTGCCAGGGAAGCAGAGATTGGGTTAGACGGGCCCATGGACACCAGTAGAAAACATGATTAAACTGAAGGACACAGACTATGGTTTGCCTTATGCACATTTGTTTATTTTTAATGTTTATTGTATTATGACAAATTCAATTTTCTTCAGTTGTCTGTTTTGCTGTATGTCCACTCAAAAGCTATTATTTCATCACTAAAAACAGTACCTGTGGCTTGGTGACTGGCTTTTCTAGATGAATCTATTAGGTCATCATTGAAATAGTAAAAGAATGATTAATGAAGACATAAGCACCAACCTCTTGTCTCTATACCCATATGTGCATCCATGTGCACCTGCATATTCATGATACATACGTACACACATGCATACCTTGATGGAAAAAGAACAAACCTGAGGTTTTCTTTCATGATTTTGTTTTAAATTTACTGATCCAAACAGTATCCAACAGTAATCGGTCAGCACAAATTCATGTGTGCCATGTAAATTTATATTACTTCTAAACACTATGAAAATAAAAAGAAAGCACTTTGGGGAATATTTTCCTGTATCCATGGAGATGCTTTTTAAACCACACCTCCTCAGCACAATCCTACAAAGAGCAATTCTGGCCATTGTATATCTTCCTAATATGTTGATTTTCCAACTTTTTAACAACATTAATCAGTGATACCTGCTAACAGAGTGAATTGAGCAAGATTCTCCGGCAACTGGATCTCAGTAATTTTCAATGTAAGCAAGCATCCCCCTTATCACTCTTATAACACCAACTATTCAGAAACGACTGCTTTCCTGTAGACTGTGACCAGGACCAATGCCTACTTCTACAATCCACCTAAAACGCCCTGCCCTTGTCCTCATTACATCCAACAGAAGCAAATGGCTTGTCCTTGGCTGCTATTGCTATGCTCTTTCACAATGCAGAGGTCTGGAACACCCATTTAGTCGATCCAAAAAGCCCTTCCTCTGCTCAGAGACATATCCGTCTTCCATCAGCACTGTCAGCATGTTCTCCACAGAGGGCCCAGTACTGAGTACAAGAATCTATGTTACAACTGGCTGTGTTCAAGTTTATCATGCAAGACTTTTGAGAAAAATGATTCAAAGTAAGGTGCTTGAATTAGAACTTTTGTCACAGCTGTTTTCTTCTCTATTTCCTTCAAGATTTATTTATGTGTGTGTGTTTGCGTGTGTGTGTGTGTGTTTGCGTGTGTGTGTGTGCGTGCACATTTGGTGGATATAAGTGACTGTGAAGATCAGAGTTGTCAAGTCTCCCTGGAGCTGGAGCTGGAGTAGCTGGAGTTACAAGCAATTCTGAGTTTCCTGCCTTAAATGCTGGGGACAAAACTTGGATTCTCCCCAAGAGCAGCAAGCACTCTTAACCACAGAGTCATTTCTCCATGCCACAATTTCCCTTAGTTAAAAAAGAAAAGATTCTGTTAGATTGTGACAATTGGAATTTGTTTTTCTTCAGTTGTTGCCTTTTTTCCCTGCATGTTCACTACCAAGATATGACTTAAGTACTAAAAACAACTAGGATATTCTACATTTTTACTTCAATCATTCAGACACACACACACACACACACACACACACACACACACGATGTGTATATTCATTTGAAATGAAGTAATATTACAATATGGATTAATTCAGTTAAATTAACTAACATATTTAACTATCACCTCAAATAGTTAAATTTTAGATAGAAACATTTCAAATGTACTTTCCTAATCATTTAAAACTATGCAATACCCTATTAACTTTAATAGTGGCTTTTACTGCAAATACCCCAGTACTGTTTTTCTCATCTATGTTATTTTCTTTTCCAAGTTTATTTCCCCATCTATAAAATAAGAGGGAAACATGAAATAATCATAAAAAGTAAAAGACTTGATTTTAAAAGACTTGCTTTTTATGGTAATGATTTGGAAAACACTGTTTTCAATACTTGAGTGATATCCA